ATTATAAATATTGCCCCTGTTTGACCCACATTATTTTTTTCATTATCATTTTTCTACTCATTTTCAACCACACATTCTTCAATAAAATAATATTTTCCATCACATCAATAACTTTTCCTTCATTTTTAACCACATATTCCCCATCACATCACTTCAAAAAAAATGCATTCTCTCATTTTAATGTGCACCAAACAGACTCTTAATATCCTTGTTTCCAAATTACTCAAATGAGAGAGTGTAGAAGCAAGCAAGTACCTACAAAGTATTAATCATGAAATTAATTATTTGACTTAGGCTCTTAATCCAACACACGATAACTGTATTTTTACCTGTAATTTCGGCTTTCAAAGAAAATTAAAAATGCATTGATCTTTATCAGTGTTTGGTGCGATCTATAACTGGATTAAATTAAGCCCTTGTTTGGTCTGGATTAAAATCAGATTTTAATCAAAGTCAAAGTCAAACAATTAATATCAACCACATATTTCATGGGTCCCACAACTTTTCAACCACGTATTTCAAAAACTTCTATTACAATCTACTAAAAATCTAATTTTAATTTCCACCAAACACCATCTTGGGTCTTATTGATATAAAGTGGGTTTAGACCCATTATTTACTGATCCCTTTATAAATTAAGAAAAATGATCTACGAATAACGTGTATAGTTTGACACGACATATCAATTTATTGATGAATAACAAATTTAATTTAAATATTGAGATCCACCATTGATTGATATAGCATGTCATTGCCAACCATCATTTTCTCTCCGATGCTTATTTTGTTAAAAATGCCTCGCATTCTGGAACAAAATTAAGGAAAATGGAAGCGAAGAACATTAGAAAACATGCAGGGAAGCCAAAATTCCTCCAACCTTGTCCTCAACACCAAGAGACGAGGTCATGGCAAATGCTTCAGTCCAATAACGAGCTGTGCCCATAAATGTTGGGTAGTCCCTAAGATACTGGAATGTGCAAAAACCAAGACTAATAAGCAACTTGTGGGGGGGTAGCACATAAAACACACAGAATGCCGAGAAAATGATAAGTTTTTGCTGGGAGTAAGAATGACATCTAAAAGACAACGGAAGTGAACAGGACCTGTTGTGCTACAACAGCATCTTGGGGATCATCAGGTTCTGGAGCAGAGAGTAATGCTTGTACAGAAAGGAGTGCTGTCTTCAAAGTGAGTGCCGGGCTCCACTGGTCTTTCAAGATATCCAGGCATATTGCTCCACTTTGACTGCTTATATTAGGATGCCTTTGGTGTGTAATAAACACATTATTCTTAGTGCAAGTAATTTATGGGATCCTAATTGCAAAAACTTCTAGTACTATCAAGCAACGAGGAGAAAAGGAAATGTTACAAAAAGTACATTTCCTAAACACTGGGTCAGCATACCAATTTATATTTCTATTTGCTTATTGATGTTCAACCAAAGTCAACAATTGGTTTTATTCATCTATGCATGAATCTTTAACCAAAAGAACATCACATGCAGACAGCATCAAAGTCAGCATAGCTGTATCCTTCACGCACATTAAATTTCTGTTTTTTATTTTTTAATCTCAGAAAGTACTTCTAAGAACCGTAAAATTTGGTGGTCAAACAAGATTATATGGTCCGTCAAAGTTTAGAGACTTTGTTACCATCCACCAACCACGAGACTCTCTTAGCAATAAGAGACGGATCACATGCAGAACATTGATCAGATCATCTTACTACTAGGTGAATCATCCACAATAAAAGAAAAGACAATATCGAACAGCATGCTTCTCATACCATACTTTAGTGGCAAACTGCATCTTGGGAGGCTCAAAAGGGTAACCATCTGAAAAGGAAGTTCAATTGATAAGAATATGTAAAAATTACACTCAAAGTAACAAATAGATGGTATTATTCACATATACATAAACCAAACCGAACCGAACAATTTAAAGTCCCTTTGAGAGATCAAAATGAAGAAAATAAAGTATTAAAAATTATCAATTGCATATCTTACACAATAAATTTGGGTGCGCTGGGTGCCGCGATGCAGGCATTTACTTTCGACAAGAGGATAAAAATTATAAACTAGAAGGCAACGTGCAAAATTTTGGTTAATTGCATTTTTTCTCTTAACATTCCTTTGGAGGTATTAAGAGAACAAAGTAAATTTAGAAAAAGCACGAGAACAAGCATGGGTAAAACACCAACTCTTTTCTAAAATATCCCTAATTTTCATTGCCAGTTTGCTGTCATGACTCTTGATTCAAGTGGCCCTCAAATTCTCTCCTTAAAATTGTGTCTAACCAATACCCAATGTTATATGATTGAGTCTTCCCTAATCTCTTCGAATGTACCCACTTCAAGTCTTCAAAATATAATCCTTAGGAAGAATTTGCAAAACAAACCTTTTTTATGCTGTGTAATTGCAGTGAGATTCTAGTTGAATTTCCTTATACTAGCCTTGATAAATTCAAAACAAACGAGTAATGATCACTTTTATTTGAAATTTTGTCCTCCCGTGTTACGCAATGATTGGAAAGTGCGAGGCAAGAAGTGTATACATTCTGAAATGAAGCATATTTTCTAATGATTTGAAAATGAAAATGTTAGCAATAACAAAAGAAAAAAAAAGAGGCCCTATACTTGAGGGGCGCCAAGTGTAAGTGGCCCTGTACAACCATTATTTTCCGGCAACGAAATCATAATTTCAAAGTTCATGTGGCTACCTCTGCTCGCTGATGCACTGTAATCTTTGTCAGAAATTTGGTACAAAGATATAATATTCCTGTAGTGCAGTCAGCTATATAATTTTCCAGAAAGCTATAAATTAGATTATTAGAGGAAAATTATTTTAAGTACAAAGTGTACCAATAATTTACATACATGACTCTAAAATTCCAGCTTACAACCAAACAGAAAATTAGAAGTACTTCCCAGTATCAGAAATTACTCAGATTCAAATACGTAATAAGAAATGAAACAGAACCCCACAAAGTATAATCTGTGAAGAAACAAAGTTCGCTTTAAACCCAGAACACACAAACATTAATTCTTTGAAAAAGAAAAGAAACAAAATAACATTTAAATGTCCCACCAATAGACAAATTGGAACAAACACGGAGGACTTGTTAACATAAATGTCCTTAAAATTCAAGAACCCTAACGAGAAATGAGACAGAACACACTAAGTCTAATCTGCAAAGAAAACAAAATTCACTTAATCCCAGAACCCAAATTAACTAATTCTTCGAAAATGTGAAAAACAACATAACCTTAAAAGCCCACCAATAGAAATATTAACACACACACGGATAAATTATGGTGTAAAATAAACGGTACCGGGCAAAGTGATGTCGATCTTGAAAGAGCCACCTTCATAAGGAGTACCAAGAGGACCAGGGATTGTACCAAGCAAATGGGCCAAATTAGCATCGCTCTTCGGCATAACTTTTATGCCTGAAACCTCAAAATCCCGGTTGCATTCTTGCAACTCCTTCTGTACCCGTGCAAAATCCACCATCTTTATTTTTTTTTCTGACTTTAAATTATCAATTCCAAGGGTTAGAAGGATGAGAAAGAGCGAGAGAAAAGAAGGGGAGGGGGAGAGAGATGGGCTTTTTTCAAGACTCTTCAATTCCTCTTTATCGAAACATTCTTGCTACAGTGAGCGCGAAACTGTTGTTTTACCTGCCTCACAGTGTGACTGAACTACGAGTGCGTCATTTTGCTATGAAAATGTTATAGTCCAAGTCCCCAAACTTTACGAAATACAATATTTCAGTCCACATTCAATTGTACATAGCATATGTATCTCCAAACTTTTAAAAATAGTGCAATCAATCTAGATTGGGTGGATTCTTTCTATTTTTCCATTGAAGCAGTATGTGCATTATATTTAACTTCTTATTCAAGTGTGTTTTTATAAATTTTTGTCTTCCTTCGAAATCAAATGAAATATAAAAGACCAAAGAAATAAAAAAGAGGAGAAATGAATAGATTGTTGGCCAACATCCTCCCCAACCCACCCTTATTTAAGCCAATGTTTGACATCCTTAAAATTTGTAAAACAATGTTTTGAATAGTATATTTTGGAAAAATATGTAGTTAAAAATTATGAAAAATTTTGAATTTACGTATAAAATATTTTATTGTTTGAATTTATGGTTGAAAATGAATATGATAAATAAAGTAAATAATGTCAAGTATGGGCTAAATGAATAGATAGATTTGAATTGCCGCCCACCATAATTGGTCCATATCCCCTATCCAACGACCCTCCATCTTCATAGTTAACTTTTGCGATCTTATTTTTATCTTTCTCAACTCTTCGCAACAAATTACAATTGCAGTTGAATTCATAAACAAAATCAATTCTAGATAAATGGATATGTCTGAAATAGTAAAATCTAAATATGAGATTTTAATATAACACGGTCCTAGGAAATTTGTTAAAAACAAGGTTTTGAAGGGTTCGAATGGGTTGCCATTGTTGCCAAGCGAGTTGGTTTTAATGGTCGTGGCGTGGACGTGTGATGTGGATTTGGTGGAATTTGAGAATAAAGGGTTTCGAGTTTGGAGTCTAGTGACGGTGATGCAACATAGAGGGAGGTTAAGAAAGTTGACGATAGGAGCAGACACGGGGGATAGGATAATGATGTGGTTATTGGGGTTAAACATCAATTGATAGAGTGGTTTTTTTTTCTTTATTTTATATTTTGAAGAGACTTTTTAAAAAACTAGTGTGGGCACGTGCGATGCA